CTCTGAGAGATTCAACAGTTACATCGAAGAAGCCGAAGAAAACCCAAGGAGAGCTTGGAAAATTGTAAAATCCCTGAGCAGGAAACGAATGATCCTCCCTCCGTTCAAAGTTGGAGAACAAACCTTCACACTAGATACTGAGAAAGCAGAAATTTTTGCAGAAGCCTTAGAAAAGCAGTGCTCCCTAAACCCGAGCAATGAAGAGCTTGTCGAAGAACACAGCCAAATTACACAACAGGTCGAAAGCTTCACCCAAAATTCTGCCTATTTTGAGCCAACTTTGCCCACTGAAATCCGTCTTCTCATTCGTTCGATCAAAAACACCAAAGTGCCTGGAGACGATGTGATCAAAAATACCGTACTTAAGACCCTTCCAAGGAAGCAAATAACTGCAGTATGCAGCATCATAAATTCCATTATGAGACTGCAGTACTTTCCCACTGCTTGGAAAAAAGCCGTAGTCATCTTCATTCCAAAGCCCGGTAAACCTCTCTCTTAAACAGAAGGCTCCAGACCCATCAGTCTTCTTTCGACGTTAGGCAAGGTTGCTGAGTCCGTCATCCTCTCACGTCTTTAAGCGCTTGTGAAAAATAATAACATAATACCTGACACCCAGTGTGGATTTCGAGAACGCCACGGCACGTGCCACCAACTCCTCAGAGTGACAGAGTTCATCGCCGAAAAACTCAATAGAAGACACCATACAGCCATGGTTCTACTTGATGTCCGCCAGGCCTTTGACCGTGTTTGGCATGACGGTCTAATCCACAAGATGATTAATCTGTCCGCCAGGCCTTTGACCGTGTTTGGCATGACGGTCTAATCCACAAGATGATTAATCTGTCCGCCAGGCCTTTGACCGTGTTTGGCATGACGGTCTAATCCACAAGATGATTAATCTTGGCTTTTCTGACTACCTAATTTTAGTCATCAAGTCATACCTCTCAAATAGAAGTTTTCGTGCAAAAATCGGTGACGCTCTCTCCACTGATCGGAATATCACGGCTGGTATCCCCCAAGGTGCCAAACTATCTCCGCTATTATTTAATACATACTGTTATGACATCCCACACAACCCAAAGATCATATCTGCGGAATACGCTGACGATGTCACGCTAATTCAGTCCACCCCTCAGATCAGTCATTGCACGGGCCGGCTGAACAAACATATTAAGGTCCTTGCCCACTGGTACAATTTCTGGAGACTCATTTTAAACGACATCAAAACAGTTACTTTATTATTTTCCAAAAGGAACAAGGAACCTCCAAATATCATCGTTAACTCGCAAACCGTCAAATAGAGCTACTCTGCCAAATATCTAGCAGTTGTCTTCGATAGAAGACTATCCTGGGTCCGTCAAATTAAAAGCACACAAAATAAAGCTAGAGGTACATTTATAGCACTCAAACCCTTCTTCATCAATCGAAAAATCACTGAACAGACCAAACTACGCACCTTCTATACCATAATCCGGAGCATCTGCACATACGCTACACCAGTCTGGGGTACGGCTGAAAATCTCAAGCTACTTCAAGGAACCTTCATGAAACTGTTGAGAGGTACTCTAGACATACCCTGGTTCATAAGAAACAATCAGATTCCAAAAGACATCCCAACTGTAGCCCCAACGAAGGCTCTACATCTTTACGCTAAAAATCTGCGTACGTCAATAACTTCGCACCCAAATCCGCTTATCAGAGCCTTAACCTACGACCAACCCAAGAGCTACGACTGGGTTAAACGCCCTTGTACACTCACTTTAGTGTAACAATCTGCTTCCTCACGAATCTTTATTCGAACTCTTACCTGCACTTGCGCAAATTCTCGTCCTTCTCTGTTTACTTCCAGTAGACCCAAGTTGATGAGTTTTTATTTTGTTTATACATGTCCACCCCTTCTGTGTCAACCTGGGTAAAACCCAGCTTTCGTGTGTCACTTCAAAGTGCTTGCATTGGTCCCACCTACTACTCTTATAGGCCATAGACTAGTCTTTTCTTCCGCAGTGCAACCATCAAAATCTTTCATCTTTTTCTCTGCTTCTAAATTTTTTCTTTTTTCTTGGGTGCAGAATCTTCGGATTGGTCCCCTGATGAAGTTTTAAGCTGGTAGGAACCCGGCACTACCCTCTCTCTTGAGGGTGTCTATGCAAGATTTTCTTCATCAACTCTAAAAAAAAAAAAAAAAAAAGTCTAAGCCCACAGTTCTCTCGTGTCCAAGGCAGGGAGCACGTCATTAGCCTTACTGATGAGTCCTGGCGTGCTCTCGAAACGAAACATCTTTTTCTCTCTCCTGTAGATAACCTCTAGATCTCTACATGTATGATGTCACATACATGACTAATTTATTACGGGTCTTATGTCATTTTTACAGCTTACTAGTTACACTTGCACGTAACATATGAAATTGTACTATTGACTAATTGTGGTAAGTACACACATGGGCAGTCTACCAGTGCCATATACTTACTACAAAAAAAAAAAAAATTTCTTCCTAAATAATTAATTTAAAAAAACAAAAAATTTAAGTAGCATAAAGAGGGTTATGTAGATTAAATCGAATAAGGCGCGTTATTACGCGTTAAATATTAGGATTTTATGCATTTGATACCTGATGTTTTTTTTTAATGAAAATAATGCTAATAATTACTGTTATAAATAAATTATTTCATAAATAAATAAATTATTAAAATAAACATATACAATAGAGTTTCAAAACGTATCAATGGTTTTTAAGGACGCTTATTTCAAATTCAACAAACAAATTATATTAGAATGTCACATAATTGTATAAATATTGTAATTTACTAAATCAATAACA